CACCAACACGGGGAGAACAGGCAAACTCCACACAGAAACACCAACTGACCCAGTCGAGACTCAAACCAGCGACCTTCTTGCTGTGAGGGGATCGTGCTACCCACTGCGCCACCGTGTCACCCCTATATTATATTCATTCATTCGTTTTCTTGTCGGCTTAGTCCCTTTATTAATCTGGGGTCTCCACAGTGGAATGAACCGCCAACTTATCCAGCAAGTTTTTACCCAGCAGATGCCCTTCCAGCCGCAACCCATCTCTGGGAAACATATTATTATATATAAAATATAATTTTTTATGTAACATTTTACACTTTTAATATATTTATTTGCATCTATATTTGTATTACAGAAAAACTATATGAATAAAACTGCACAATATTCATTCGTAATCATGTGCGAGTTATAAGTGCTGTATGTGCTCAGCATGTCTGCTGTAGCTTCTCCTCTTGTGTTTGTGAGATGCTCCGGCGCTCCAGAAATAGCGCTCTGGTGTTCCTCTGCTCTATTATTAGTGCTGACAGCGCCTCCTCTCTCCTTCTGTCAGGTGGAGTCTGGATTCTTCCACGAGAGCGACGCCAAGATCGTGGGCAAGTCAATCCGGGACCGAGTGGCTCTGATTAAATGGCGGAGGGAGAGGACGGGGCCGAGGGCTGATCCGGGGCCCGCAGCTCCTGTACCCGCACCTGCAGCCGCACCCGTACCCATACCCTGCCTGCTGGAGCCCGAGGAGGAGCCGCAGGGTCTGGTGTGCCCGCTCAGTGCCAGGACCCCCTCCACCACATGTGAGCATCCACAGCATCAACACTGTAGTAAATTTGGGGATATCAGTCATGCAGAATTCATTCATTTCAGTCTTTATCCGGGTCACGGCACCAACCTGTCGAGAATATGCGACCTCAGCTGTTTGACTTGAGCTGGAAAGATTCCATGTGGAGTCAAGTCTGATATTGGTTGATGATGAAGAGTCAGATTGATTTCAGTCTCTGTCCAGATGTCACGGCACCAAAACCTGACAGAAGTCTTGTGGAATACCCAAGATTTAGAAACTTCTAGTAGATGATTTGGTGTCAGAAGTGTCTCTATGAAAGGCAAAGGCCTCTAGATTTTGCTTATTTGAGCACAATAAAGTCTGATCATGTCTTGATGTTGACTGGTTTCATTAGGACAGTAAGGTCTGACTCTGCTCAGACTAGTGGTTCTCAAACTGTGGTACCACTAGCAGTACGCAGGTATACATCTAGTGGTACACAGAGGAATCACTGAGTAATGAAAGAAAAATGTATGCCATTATAATCATTTGATGCGTACGATAACGCCAATGTGATCAGCATTGTGTGTTCTCTAAAGCTTACGATCAAAGCGCTGTGCTTAGATTGTTTACTTTAGTGCAGGGGTGTCCAAAGTCGGTTCTGGAGGGCCGGTGTCCTGAAGAGTTAAGATCCATCTTGCTTCAACACACCTGGCAGGAAGTTTCTAGTAAATCTTGTAAGAGCTTGATTAGCTGGGTCAGGTGTGTTGGATTAGGGTTGGAGCTAAACTCTCCAGAACAGCCCTCCAGGACCGAGTCTGGACACCCTGCTTTAGTGCATCAGCTGCTAAAAATCAATCCAATTGGCGCAGAACTAGAGAAAGAGGTGCGTAGTGCTTGCAGAGCAGATACAAGCTAGAGCAACCCTCGAGCCACAGAGCGGCTGGTCTGTAGATCAATTGGTACCGTTGGTCCACAAAAAATCATTAATTATTTCCTTTTTATTTATTATCCGAGTCTGAACGATCATTTATTTTGACAAATCTTTTGTTTTGAAAAATGACCGTATTCTCTTGTTATGCTGTGTTCACACCAGACGCCGTACGTGTGGATAAATCGCGCTATTCGCACGTAAATAGCCGCGTGAACATTTGAGTTTACTCGCTTCATTCGCGTGTCAAATTCACTTCAGAACAGATGTGGATTCGCGTGATGGGCAGGGCTTCTGTCTGCCCGGTGACTGTAACTTCGTTGCTAAAAGGCTAACATGGATTTTATGAAGAAAATAACAGTGTTTATGTGCTTTATGAAGACTGAAAAACAGCGTCGATACGTTTAGGGTCGTGTCTGAGTCCACTACATGCTTTCAGAGGTGCAGCAGCTCTGTGAGCTCATCAACTCCTCCAGAAACTGAACCTGGATGACGGAGGCTTTCAGCAGTGCTTCTGACTGAGCCCAGCCCAGTTTGATGACTTGTTTTCGGTGTCGCCTGGAGGATTTCCCCCGGGACACCATCAACAGGTTCTACGTCACAATCACGCCCCCACAAGAGCAAGCTTCTGATATGTTAACGCGGCGCGAATGTCCGCTGAAGTTCAGATTTTCGAACTTGAGAGATTCGCACGAAACGCTCGTTAAGTGCGTCAAATGCGCAAAAAGCTCAATTCGCCATTCGCGCAATTCTCGTCATTCGCGCGTTTGCATTGACTTAACATGTAAATCACTCGCGCTTGACGCGCGTGCCGCATCTGGTGTGAACGCAGCATTACATCTCGGTCACTTGAGTGCCAAAATTGATCCCACATGCTAGATGAATGAGTAAGAACTGCAGCACGACGCGCTTGCGTATTCCAGGCGTGCCCAGTTGAAAACATCTTAACTTTTCAGAATGCGGCGGCGTGAGTCACATGACCTGATCAGCTTCATATTTTGTATGGAATATCATGTCGTTAGACTAGTCACCTCAGACCAACACAGAACACCCAAACACTGCAGTGCTTTTCCAGTTTCTTCAAGAATAAAACTCAGAGTATCAGAGTTTTGTCAGCTTGACATCCCTTAAAGTAATGACTTGTGCTGCTTGTTGAATCTACTTATTTAAAATGAGCTGAAACAGCACAATCCTTAAGGTGTTGTGGAGACAACTTAATTAATTTATCTGCATGTATAAGCTTATTAACTTTACATGTCTTTGTCTTATTTGCATTTTACGCCTGATGTCTTTGTCTCTCTGCATTGGAGCATATGCACATGGACTTTTAATATCAGTCATCAGCTCCAGGGCTTCCGCTGAATTGTCATCCCATACAACATCACAGCGTTTAAGATCTGATCTCTTTAAAAATGAGCAATCCTCCTCACTGCCTGGCGAATATATTAAATAAAGTGGGCATCAGACAAATTATAAGCACTGTATTAAATTATAGAGTTTATCATTTTCAATGGAGTATCTGCGCTGGTCTGTGGCTAATGACCTGCTCTTCATCTCTTTCTATATCTTAACAGCAAAATGCATGCTCACATCTCTTTGACTGATTATATTTTAATGACATTACTACATCGATGATGTAAAAGGAACCGTATGAAATTAAAAATAGTCCCATAAAGCTCTCAGCGGAAGGCTGAGAAGCACTAGCTGTGCATAAAGCCCATCCTGTTGTATGTTGTATATGATGGCTGTAAATCTGCTTGTCCTGTGAGTGTGTGAGATGCTGATGTGCAGTCTGTCTCTCTGTCTCCCTCTAGTGGACAGTGGCATCGGCTCGACAGTGTATTCAGACTCTCACAGCAGCGGTCTGCAGGAGTGTGTGTCCACCGCAGCGCAGGAGGTCTGTATCACACACACACACACACACACACACTAATATATGCGCATAAATCTGCATTCCTCTGCTACTGCGTGACGCATGCACAACACAATACGCATGCCTGAGATTTATTCAGAGGAATTACGCTAAATTTAGACCTGTGGGGGGACTCGGGTTCATTCTTTTACCTTTGAGCTAGATGTATGATCGCTGTCTCTAGTGTGTGAGTTTGAGCCGAGTATAGCACACTGATAATGTTCTCTAACTTTCTGACTGTTTTAAGCTTCGAGCCTGATTTCTGACGCTTTAAAATTAAATGAGATTGTGCCATGGTGATTTTAATCACATTCTCCCTTTGTACATGTCATCAGAGGGGGAAAGCCCCGCCCACTAGTGCCCATCATCTCATTAGCATGTCCAGCAGGCCTGAGTGAGAAGCAGCCATCTGTCCATTAGCCATTAGAGTGTTTGAGCTGCTGAAGATGATGTCAGCATAGACTAAGAGGATTATAGATGTGGAGTTCTAGATGAAGCACAAATCAAGAGTGGAGTCATTTGGCATCTGTAGCTCCGCCCTCTTTTGAAAAAACACAATCTCATTTGCATTTAAAGCGACAGTCACCAAACCACCACAGTTAGGATCAAAGCCTGGAAGGGTCAGTTCCAGAGAGCATGGGCTATTCTCTGCTCACATTTCCCTACACACTCATCAGAGACTTGCATAATAGGTCTGCTTTAAATGTTTTGACGTACAACAATGTGAGAGGATCCTAATCCTTCTGTTTTTGCATAACCAAGTCATGCATGTGTGTGTGTTCATCTCATTTGCCATTTCATGATAATAGCATGCAGGAGCTGCTTGTCTTCCAGGGTGCGCGTCGTGAAAGCTCCTTTATAAATGACTTCTTCAGACTCTTTGAACATCCTCAATTCCTGTCCCGACCCAGCAGCCCGTCCCGACCCCTGACAGCCCGAGAACAGTCAGAAGAAGCCGTCAGAGGTCTGTTTCTGTCTCCTCCGCCGACCTCCACCCGCAGGTACAGCGACACCTCCCTGAATCCGCCCTCTGAGGAGTGTGTGTCGGCCCGCCGGCTCTCCTTAAACCAGCCGTCGTCCCCCTGCCGCAGCTGCCTGTCTGTGCTCCTGCACGGGGCGCTCTCAGAGAGGAGACATTCAGGATATTCTCCGTCAGGATCCGACGTGCGCATTTCAGACCTCTCCCAGCTGAACAGATCTCTGCAGTGCATTACGGGACACGTTCATCAGCCTCCTGCGCTCCTGAAAGTGCCGCCGTGCCCTGAAACAGCGCCGCCCCGTCCCGTCCGCAGCTTCAGCGATGAGGGCTGTGTTTTTGAGCCTCCGCGTGATGGACTCCGCCGCAGGTCCAGCTCCTGTGTGGGCCAGCGCTCAGCGGTAGGTGATGCGGATGGGTTCTGCATCTCTGCTGTGCTCCTGCTGGGGGATTGCAGGCCTCAGATGTAGAGGCGTTCTCTCCTTTCCTCTCTCCGTACTCACCAAGTCCAGTTCTCCATCAGAGGAGAACACAATCGTCTGTTTTCCTGATCAAATCTACCCATTAACCGTGCTTACTACACGTCATGCTGCTAACATGCTAACAAACTGCTTCATGTTTACTCTCACCTAAAGGAACATGGAAATAGGCTAGTTTAACAGCCCCTCTAGAGTTAAACAGGTGAGCTTTACCATGTTTTAGAGTCCCTTCAGGGCGGCACGGTGGTGCTGTGGTTAGCACTGTGGCCTCACAGTAAGAAGCTGGGTCAGTTGGTGTTTCTGTGTATGGGTGTTTTCCAGTACTGGATTGCTACTAGAAGAGCATCTGCTGTGTAAAACATATCCTGGAATAGTTGGCGGTTCATTCCACTGTGCCGAACCCTGATTACTATAAGCCAAAAAGAAAATGTAAGAATGAATGAATGAACACCCATCAGATCAGTTATTCTACCCTGTTAATTATGTAGATTTTTGGGTCAGAGGGAACTAAGGATGTTTTTGCGCCTGTGCCTTTAAATGCAAATGAGCTGGTTATCTCCGCCCACTCTTTGTCATTTCATTTCTTTTGTTACGACCAAAGATACTAAATGGGCGTCACGGTGGTGTGGTGGTCAGCACTGTGGCCTCACAGTAAGAAGGTCGCTGGTTTGAGTCTCGGCTGGGTCAGTTGGTGTTTCTGTGTGGAGTTTGCATGTTCTCCCCGTGTTGGCATGGGCTTCCCCCACAGTCCAAACACATGCGCTATAGGGGAACTGATCAACTAAATTGTGTGTGTGTGTGTGTGTGTTAACATGTGTATGGGTGTTTCCCAGTGCTGGGTTGCAGCTAGAAGGGCATCCGCTGTGTAAAACATATGCTGGACAAGTTGGCGGTTCATTCCACTGTGGCGACCCCTGGTGAATAAAGAGACTAAGCTAAAATGAAAATGAATGAATGAATCCTTTCAGCTGATCTCCAGGTCTGACAGTAGCACTTTTAGCTTAGCTTAGCATAAATCATTGAATCGGATTAGACCATTAGCATCTCAAAAAATATATATATTTTCCATGGTCCTACAGTTCTCCTGGGTGATTGTAGATTTCTAATATACTCAAATCTGCAAGCGTTCTCTCCTTTCCTCTCTCCGTACTCACCAAGTGCAGTTCTCCAATGGAGGAGAGCCCAACCGCCTGTTTTCCTGATGAAATCTACCCATTAACCGTGCTTACCATGTGCCTGACGTCATGCAGCTAACAAACTGCTTCATGTTTTCATTATCAATTAACCTGTGTGTGTGTGTGTGTGTGTGTGTGTGTGCGTGCGTGCGTGTGTGCGTGCGTGTGTGCGTGCGTGTGTGCGTGTGTGCGTGCGTGTGTGTGTGTGTGATTTGCTTGCCTGCAAATTAACCAATATATCAGCTTTGACATCTTTGTTTACATGCAGTGTTTGTGTAACAGTAAGGCCCCGGTGTACTTCAAACCTAATGAGAAAACAAACGTAATGTCGTAACTCAAAACGAAATGGCGTAATTTCAAACAAACTCCAGACTCTAATATATCTGCATCCGCTCAAACATGAAGCTCAGCATCATCACTCAGCCTTTCAGAACTTCCTCTTGTCCTCAAACCCAGAAGGAACAGAGCTTAGTTTGAAGTATATCGAGGCCTTAAAGCATGCAAGCGTGGGATTTCTCCATTGGTGTGTTTCCTCTTGTGCAGTCTCCAGCTTTGCGGGTCCAGAGTCATGCGGCTCCAGCTCAGCACATGCAGACGTACACTCCTGCGTCCTCAGAGTCCTGCGGGACGCTTCTGTCTACTCAGGACACGCTGAAAACAGCACAGCAAAGCATCAGTGCACAGCGCATCTCCTCCAGCCGCAGCGCAGAGCTGCACCTGCAGACACACACACACCCGTCTGCAGCGCTGCAGCAACACACACCTGAGATCCTGAGTCTGCAGACTGAGGCGCAGATCTGTGACTTCTCTAATGTGCAGATCAGCCACGCAGGCCCTGCGCCACCTGTCCAACAGGTAAACATGCTATACCACCAAATCTAAATGCAACAATGCCACATTTGTCTACTATTCAGGGCGTACAGTATATGTGAATTGGGACGCAGCATTGTGTTTCTCTGTGTGTTACGTTAGCTCTGCACTCAGACGCCGCTCATAGACAGCTGGCAGCATGCAGGACAGTCTGCATCTAGTGTACCAGCACTGTCTGTTCCCCCGCTGCAGGCGCCCGCTTACCTCACACAGGTACACGCTACACTGCCAAAAACACTTTAAATATCTGAAAACTCCTAAATCAGAGGCATTTCTAGACAAGTTTTGTTTTCAGAAATAACATTTAAACAACTTTAAAACATGCAATAATAATAAGATCAATTAAATATTGTTATTTTAAAGAAAAAACACGATTATTGTGCTTGTTTACGGAGGAACTCTCTTCATTTTGACTCATTATTTCTCAAATCAACACAATAATGTTTGCTTGTCTAGAAAACGCTTCTTGATTCTTGAGTCTTTCGATATTTATACTGGAAACAACACTGTTTTTTTGCAGTAGACCTGCATTTTTCACGTATGCTTTGGTCTTTATCTCCAGTGTCCGGCTGGGTCTCCTCTTGCAGGATGTGATCCACACACCGCCTGTTTTCCCTCAGTTCACTCATCCCTCAGTTTGCCAGTGCCAACACACTCCTCCATCTCCCAGGTGGCGTGTTCACAGAGTTCAGTGCCCATCCAGTACCCGCTCCTGCCCTCCACATCTCCTGTACCCACTCAGTGTGCAGTTCCACCCGCAGCCCATCAGTACCAGCAGCCTAATGTAAACCACATCAGCACTTTCTCCCAGCAGGGCCACAGTCAGGCCACGCCCACAGTGCATCCAAACCCCACCTCTCTGTGTGCTGGAGCTCCTCCTATTCAACAAGCTCCGCCCACACAGGTATTGTGTGCTTTGATGGGCTTTAAAGTGAAATGTGCATGTTTCATATGTTTGAGAGGGGGTGGGGCATATTTTAGCTCCTCCCCTCTCGTGTTTAGTTTTCCTCAGAGCTCTGCCAGGTATAGTAATAGGCCTTACAGCTTCAGTCAAGTGCTTTGAACATTAAAACAGGGTGGGACATAAAGTAGCCCCTCCCCTTTCTAAAAAAAATAGCCAATAGAGTGTTGAATTTCTCAAATGTAAATCTCGTTGCGGTGTATCAATGTAACTTTGCTGATTTTGGTATTGATGTGTTGTTTCCAGGGCTCATTGACCCTCCAGCACCAGACTCCACTTCCAGTGGACCTGAACTCTTCCAGTGTCTCTGATCATGTCCACGCCTCTCAGATGATGACACACCCCACCGCCCCATCCCATAATGCACCTCAGCTTGCTACAATGCCTCAGGTCTCCCACAGACCCGGTCTGGACACCTTCATCCCTGCAGTGGACCAAACGCAGACTCCTCTACACGCGGGTCAGGGTTCTGCAGTCGCTGTCGCACATCCAGGAGCTCCAGAGGCGCTCACTGAGGTCAGACTCAACACACACTGCACATTCTCACATTACTGGAGGTCACATGATACACTGCATTATCAGAAATCCAGATGAGATGTGCGCTGTAGACACAGTGCTCACTTAAGCCTAGTGCACACTACACGACTGTGAACATCTGCAGAATGCTGTGCCTTTCAGACTATGCTTAATTTGGGCAAATATTATGTGTTAAATTGCACAGAAAATGTGATTTGAGTAAATATCTTGAGTAACTGCGCACAGAAAATGTGATTTTTAGCAAATATTGTGGGTCAAGTGCACAGTAAATGTGATTTGGGTAAATATCTTTAGTAACGTTGTACAGAAAATGTGATTTTTAGCTAATATTGTGGGTCAAGTGCACAGTAAATGTGATTTGGGTAAATATCTTTAGTAACGTTGTACAGAAAATGTGATTTTTAGCTAATATTGTGGGTTTAATTGCACAGAAAATGTGATTTAGGCAAATATTGTGGGTTCAATTGCACAGAAAATGTGATTTGGGTGAATATCTTGGGTAAAGTTGCACAGAAAATGTGATTTTTAGCAAATATTATGGGTTAAATTGCACAGAAAATTTTATTTTAGGCAAATATTGTGGGTTAAATTGCACAGAAAATGTGATTTGGGTAAATATTGTGGGTAAAGTTGGACAGAAAATGTGATTTAGGCAAATATTATGGGTTAAATTGCACAGAAAATGTGATTTTTAGCAAATATTATGGGTTAAATTGCACAGAAAATGTGATTTTTAGCAAATATTATGGGATAAATTGCACAGAAAATGTGATTTTTAGCAAATATTGTGGGTTAAATTGCACAGAAAATGTGATTTTTGGTAAATATCTCGAGTAACGTTGTACAGAAAATGTGATTTTTAGCAAATATTATGGGTAAAGTTGCACAGAAAATGTGATTTTTAGTAAATATTATGGGTAAAGTTGCACAGAAAATGTGATTTTTAGCAAATATTATGGGTTAAATGGCACAGAAAATGTGATTTTTAGCAAATATTATGAGTTAAATTGCACAGAAAATGTGATTTTTAGCAAATATTATGGGTTAAATTGCACAGAAAATGTGATTTTTTAGCAAATATAGGTTAGCCTGCTTTTTTCTTTATCTTATATGTTTGGTGATTGTTTGTACTGTGTTGATGGATGAGATGTCTGTCTGTTTTTATGTTCTGCAGAGCAGGAACCTGCTGAAAAACAGCATTCATGCTGAGTCAGGCCCGATTATCTTTTAATCTTTTCCTGTTTAAAAAATTATAAATAAAATAAATAAATGAATAAATAAATTGCACAGAAAGTGTTATTTAGGCAAATGTTATGGGTTAAATTGCACAGAAAATGTTATTTTTAGCAAATATTATGGGTTCAAGTGCACAGAAAATGTGATTTGGGTAAATATCTTGAGTAACGTTGT